AAGTTGATTTGATTCAGTTTGCAAATACGTAATTAGTTATGTAAGTTGGCTTTGTTTTTTGATAAATCTTTTGTTTTGGTGAAGTTGATTTGATTCAGTTTGCAAATCCATGGTGCAATTGCATGTTCGTACGTTTTAGAATGGAAATGCGACAGAACGTAATTAGTTATATAAGGTGGCTGTGATTTCCCGAAAGGTGAATTCGGAGTTTTTTTTTTCTTTCTTCCTTTTTTTTCTTTGCTTCTTTTGCACGAGGAAAGAGGAATTTCTCCGCTTTCTTCTTCGGAAAGGAAGATGAAGCTGCAGCAACAACAACGGAATCCATATTAGTGTAAATTTCATTGGCCGCTTAACGATCAGTGAAAGTGACTTATGTACGATTATAAATCAAGCTGGCCGGGGCCGGGAAAAATAGACGAACGCCGCGGAAAAACCTTTCCTAACAGAGAGATAAAGAGAAGAAGACGAAGAAGCGGTTGCAAAATCGGACTGGTTCGCACTGAAGACGACGTCCATCCAAACGATGTCCTTTTGCGGGGTCCCACCGCATCTGTCCGAATTCCGAGCGCTTCGTTTCCCATAAGGACGAATCGAGAAGATTCACCAACAACCAAAGAACGCGCGTAGAAGACGCAGCAGCAGCAGCAAACGCGTTACACTTTTTCTCGAGTGGACCGAACAACCTTGGACTGAATAATCTCGAAACGGCGTGAAATCACCATTGACAACATCGAAAAATTGCAATTTCAATTTGCGTTACCATGGAGAGTTTTCTGTTGTTTGGAGACGACTTGATATTCCAGGCACTTCGCGACCAACGAAACAAGAGAATAAACGACAAACGTCACGTACAACTCAATTTTCGATTCGCGAAATTTCCATCCACTCCATTCCATTTTTTTTCTTTTCTTTTTCTTCTCACAGCCCCGTGATTATGATTTATCAAGTAGGAAATGGGAATAGGAGGCTCTGGAAACAATGGCAGAAGCAGAAATAAGCGCTCCGCTTCGCTCCTCTCCATTAAATATATACACGCTGCAAGAATGAGTCCATCCAGTTCCAGAGGCTCTCCATGTCACAATGTGAAAAGAGAGAGAGAGAGACGAATTAATTGCAGCCTCAAGAAGAGAATATCTATGAAAAAAAAAAGGAGTAATCATATTGTGTTAACACCAGAGATTGAAAGAGAGACAAAGAGAGAGAGAGTAACGCACACGAATTTAAAAGTATATAGAAGAAGAGCTATTGCTTAATTTCATTACGAAGCGAATAATCATCTTTGCGCAACTGTAGTGTGCTTATTTTTTCTTCATTTTTTTTTTTTCAAATAAACTGTTTTTAGAATGGACCGGAAAGAAAGGGATCCAGACAGACAATAATCGTCTGATTATTGTTACCAAATCGGTGCTTTCACATTCCTCTCCCAAATCATTTATTAATATCCTTCTTTTTTTCTTCTTTCAATTGCTCAAAATTTTTAATCGCTTTGCGAAACGCTTCACATCGCTCTCATAATAGTAATGATGATCGTCCGCACTTTCGTTGACGAAACAAACTTCGCGCTTCGATTCGAGAATATTTATTACCAAATTATAGATCATGGCGCAATGGACGCCATCAGCATGCTCTTCATTTGTTTTTCGTTTTGTTTATTTTTCAGCACCGACTTGATTGCATTGATAATATTAACAAATAAAACAATATTTACAAAGAGACATATGCAAACGCACCGACAAAATCAATATTAACATTTCATCGTTTTCCTGCAACCTGCGATCGTTCTTCGCTCCAATATTGCACGTTTCAATTCGCATGCATATTGAGTTGTTGGGAAATTTTCGAAGACAATAAAAGCATTGTTGTGTAATTAGATAACGGCGCGAATTATGGAAATTAACTGCCGCAATGTCAATTACAATATTAATACACCAAAAAAAAATGAGTGAGCTGGAACAATTGTTTACGAAATTTTGAGTGATCATCATTAAATTACACGCAATTCATTTCACAGACGGTTAACGTTGTTATTTCATCAAAACGAGCTCTTCTCTTCGGCTTTAGTTTTTTTTGTTGTATAAATAACATTAAATTGTTCATTACTAATCGAGTTATCTATGAACACTTATTAACAAATCAATAATTTTCGAGTTACCTTTGGAAACTTATGTTGATTGGATCATAACAAAAAAACAAAAACAAAAGCAACATTAGATTTCTTCATGAATCGAGTAATTCTATCAATTTTTTCTTATTGAAAAACAAAGAACAAAAACAAATTGTTTTGGTTTTAAGACTCAACTACAATAATATTCAATTTCTTCTTAAATCATACACATCAATTTCATCATAAATCGAATTACCTTTGCAATTCTATAAAATCACAATTTTGATTGGTTCTTAGAAAAAACAAAACAACAATATCAAATTGATTTTGTTTTTAAAACTTAACTTTAATAATGTTTCATTTTTACATCATGCAATATTAATTTCATCGTAAATCGAGTTATCTTTGCAAATCTTCGTTTCAATTGTCACAATTTTGATTGGTTCTTAGTAAAAAAAAACAAAACAACAACAAATTTATTTTGTTTTTAAGACTTAACTTTAATAATGTTTTGTTTCTTAAATCATGCAACATTAATTTCATCATAAATCATGATATCATTGCAAATCTTCGTTTCAATTTTGATTGGTTCTTAGCAAAAAACAAAACAACAACAACTAATTGATTTTGTTTTTAAGACTCAACTTTAATAATGTTTCTTTTTTTACATCATGCAATATTAATTTCATCATAAATCGAGTTATCTTTGCAAATCTTCGTTTCAATTGTTACAATTTTGATTGGTTCTTAGCACAAAAAAACAAAACAACAATATCAAATTGATTTTGTTTTTAAGACTCAACTTTAATAATACTTTTTTACATCATGCAACATTAATTTCATCATAAATCACGATATCTTTGCAAATCTTCGTTTCAATTGTTACAATTTTGATTGGTTCTTAGTAAAAAAACAAAACACCAACAACAAAATGATTTTGTTTTTAAGACTTAACTTTAATAATGTTTCATTTTTACATCATTACAATATTAATTTCATCATAAATCATGATATCTTTGCAATTCTATCAAATCTTCGCTTTAAATGTCATAATTTTGATTGGATCTTATTAAAAAAAACAAAACAACAAATTGATTTTGTAATACAATTTTGATTGGTTCTTAGTAAAAAAAACAAAACAACAACAACAAATTGATTTTGTTCTTAAAACTTAACTTTAATAATGTTTCATTTTTACATCATTACAATATTAATTTCATCACAAATCGAGTTATCTTTGCAAATCTTCGTTTCAAATGTTACAATTTTGATTGGTTCTTAGTAAAAAACAAAACAGCAAACAACAAATTGATTATGTTTATAAAACTTAACTTCAATAATGTTTCTTTTTTACATCTTGAATCATTAATTAATTTCATCATAAATCACTATATTATTGCAAATCTTCGTTTCAAATGTTACAATTTTGATTGGTTCTTAGTAAAAAACAAAACAACAACAACAAATTGATTTTGTTTTTAAGACTTAGCTTTAATAATGTTTCATTTTTACATCATGCAATATTAATTTCATCGTAAATCGAGTTATCTTTGCAATTCTATCAAACCTTCGCTTTAAATGTCATAATTTTGATTAGTTCTTAGCAAAAAAACAAAACAACAACAACAAATTGATTTTGTTTTTAAGACACCAACTTTAATAATGTTTCTTTTTTTACATCATGCAACATTAATTAATTTCATCATGAATCGAGATATCTTTGCAAATCTTCGTTTCAAATGTTACAATTTTGATTGGTTCTTAGCAAAAAACAAAACAAAATACTTTCAAAACAAAATTGTTTCTTGAAACAATAAAAATAAATTGCAAATGGCTTTCTAAAAAAAAAAAAAAAACAACAGCAACGCACACGTCAAATCGAACGTTCTTGTTTTTGTTTTTTTTTTATTTCCAAAGCCGTCTCTCGTTTCGCGTCCAAATTTCTATCGCTCACTTAGATGCATCGCAATGTGAGGCGCGATCGATGTGCAACGCAATCGCGTTATTATGCAATGTTAATAATATTCGCGGCGAGTAAAGGAGTTAATGAGACGGGAAATTATGAGTTTTATAACCATAATTGAATCATCCATTTATTATTATTATTATCATTACATATTACATATTTTTTTCTCATTGTTACACTCATTGCAACAAAATATTAAAAAAGAAATATGTACATATTTTGTAAATTGAAAAAAAAATTTACCCAATCTCATTACAATTGAATTTCAATTTGACGCGTGTATTTCGGGGGCTTTCGTAGTTTCGAATTTACTTAATAATACATTTGTATCGAAGGTCGATATCTCTTTTTTTCCTCTTCAACTGAGTTTGTTATTTTCATGGTGCTTCTGTTCTCCACTCAAAAAGCAAATATTGATTCGGATTTTTTCTAGAGATTACAATAGAAATACGAGATGTGAATTTACGAAATTCGTGATTTAGCAATTTACCTGTTTTCTCTAAGATATTTACGTTCAGGTATTCGATTTATTACAATCCATTAAAAATGTTTGATTACTTAATGCGTTTCGAAAAGTGATTAAGTAAAATTAAATTTCGGATGATGATAATTCGTGTTTGCTTTAAACGTAATTATGTATGGGCGATGATTTACGTCCTTGGAAGATCGTAGATTAAGGTTTGTTTAATTATCTTGAGCGGATGTTACAATTATGATGCATTATGGTTAACGGTTAAAAGCTTTCCCGATGAGTTAGAGCAACTTTTCTTTGAAATTTGGGGGGTCTGCATGCGAATGAATGTACAAGATCCGTTGTTGTTGTTGCTGCTGCTGCTGCTCTTTGTGTTGTGTGTGTAGTAGCCTCTGGTCAAAAAGAAAAGAATAAATGATAATAAAGAACGTCTGGCACGTTTACACGTCCTTGTCTCGCTCGAACGTTGAGCAGAAGCGTTCTCTTCGTCGGTCGTGAAAGTGTTTCGGGTCTCAACATCATCATCATCCTCGGCGCGGAGTCGTCTTCGTCTTCTTCTTCGTCAAAATCCCCCACCTGGCTCGACGATGGCGCTGGCTCTTTCGGTATAAAATGCGGAATTCATCCCGGATTAGGCACAGTCACCACTCCGACGTCAACATAAGCATCATGAACACTTACACCGTGGTAAGGATCCAAAAAAAAAATCACAAAAAAAATATATATTAACAGCAAATGAGCAGTAAAGATAGGTTTGATGAAAAGTGTGTAAAGTGCGATTTCGGATTAATGGTTTTCGATCAAAATGATGATGGGTAGAAAGTCGACTTTCTCGATTTCCTCGCTCATCATCATCATTGTTGCTGTTGTTGTATTTTCTTTTGTTTTGTTAATTTTGTTTGTTTTTATTTTTTTGCAGTTTGCGGCCTTCGTCTTGGCCGTTGCCGTAGTAGCCGAGCCACCTTCCGGTTACAGTTACAACAGACCGAGCGGCGGCGGTGGACTGTCAGGCGGTGGCGGCTACACGGCCGTGTCCTCCGGTTACCAAACTTCCGAAGGAGCCTCCGTGGATCACGTCCTCCTCGAACAGGTCCGCCAGATCCTGCTGAAGGAAGAGCAGAACGCTCAGAGCAGCCACGGCGGTGGTGGAATCTCCTCCACGTACGGAGCCCCATCATCCCAATACGGAGTCCCATCGTCGCAATACGGTGTACCCGGTTACCACACTCGCGTCGTCGGCATCGATCTTGAAGGAATCAAGCAGGCCATCCAGGTGGCTCAGTACAACCAAATCCAATCCATCGGCGGATACCCGAGCGGCTCCTACGGAGTACCGAGCCGTCCGTCCGGCTCCTACGGAGCTCCCTACTAAGTCCGAGGAATTGCAAGAGGAAACCACAAAGAAGAATTGAGGCAAAACAACAATAACATCTAAAAAAACCTTGTTTTCGCCTCGAGAAAACATCTAAATTGAAAACCATGAAAATCACCAATCTCTTACACGGGTCATGATGCTAACACTCTCGCGTGTACATTACCATCTTTTTATTAATTTTATTTTTGTATAAAGCTTTTGTAGGTTACGTTTTATAAAAAAAAATACATTTGTCACCGTAAAAAAAAACACACACATCCACCACTTTTTTTTATTCATTTCCAAAACCTTCTTCATAATCATAATCCATAGACATCCGCGTCGTTGATCGAGCTCTTACAGCAATTACCATCGATTCCATCGAATCTGGGTTAATTGCATACACGAACAAGTAAAAGAATCTACATTTCACTTTTACTACAACTACTACTACATAGCATAGAAATGCAGTTTGCGGCTTTTGGTCATCACTATTCCTTTTGTTGGCACATCTCCTAACTTTCCTAACGCAACGCGATTTTCGATTTGTTTTTATCACCGATCAGCTAATTGGCAAACGTTTATGAAACCAATTACAGCCGGATCGCGAATGCGTTTACTTAGAAATTTCCACCAAAACACAATAGGAAGTATCATCAACATCATCATCATCATCGTCCATCGCTGGTATTTTGTTTGTTTTTTTTTGGGTGAATATGTTGCTGGCCTACATATTCGGACCTTTCTCTCCCGATCTTAGTTGCCCAATCATGATCGTTCGCGCTTTGAATGGGTAAAAGTGGCGAGGTCAGGATGATACTTTGAACTTTGCTTCCATTCCGATCCAAGAATAAAACACACTGCAACAACAACAACAACAACGAAGAAACGTTTCAAACGTTTTTCTTCGAGTTTCACTTTCTTCTTCCCAAAGTTTCACATCCTCACATGCAAATCACACAAATTAATCACGTTTTAATGTTTAGGATTCACATGCATTTCACTTACATATCGGAGCACCGAAGCGCAAAGAGATTTCAAGCAAATTTTCATCTTCTATTCACATAAACATTAAAAGAAATTCAACTCAATATTATTATATATATATTGATTTTGCGGCTTCCTTTTCCTGTTTGCATGATGCAATTAATCAAATTTAATATGAATCATTAGTTTCAGTTATTAATTAATCGACTAATTCGTAACTTCCTGTGACTCAAATTTGATATGGACCAAATTCTAATTGGTTTCACGATGGAAAGATTTTGTTGAAATCCGCTTAGGAATTCGATTTTATAAATAGTCGGACGAATGAGATCACTTCCTTTGCAACTTTCCAAAAAGTCCGGCTACAGTCATTTTATTCAAATTTCGTATAAATAAATAATAAAAAAAAACAACTAATCTGTATTCATTGAGAAAAGAGGCGATCGCAATCAACACAGTTCGAAACGACGACCTAAATTTTAAATTTAACGAACTCGTAAATATTCCACAAAAACAAATTAAATATAATAAATATTCAGCTTTCTTACGAGTGGTCGATGATGTAATTAGCTTAAGGGGTTGTTGAGATATTAAAGAAAAACTATAAGAACTGAAAAAATACAAAAAAAAAAGTTCTACAGCTCATAACAGGCGACTTGATGATAGCACAAAGATGTATGTAGGCTTGTTGGAAAGGTAAAATATTCAGCTTTCACACGAGTGGTCTTTGATGTAATTATCTTCAGGGGTTGTCGAGAAATTCACGAAAAACTATAAGAACTGAAAAAAATACAAAAAACGACGTTCTACAGCTCATAAGAGGCGACTTGATGACAGCACAAAGATGTATGTAGGCTTGTTGGAAAGGTAAGATATTCAGCTTTCATACGAGTGGTCGTTGATGTAATTAGCTTAAGGGGTTGTTGAGATATTATCAAAAAACTATAAGAACTGAAAAAAATACAAAAAAAAAAGTTCTACAGCTCATAACAGGCAACTCGGTAACAGCACAAAGATGTATGTAGACTTGTTGGAAAGGTAAGATATTCAGCTTTCACACGAGTGGTCGTTGATGTAATTAGCTTAAGGGGTTGTTGAGATATTAACGAAAAACTATAAGAACTGAAAAAAATACAAAAAAAAAACGTTCTACAGCTCATAACAGACGACTCGATGACAGCACAAAGATGAATATAGGCGCGTTGGAAAGGTGAGATATTCAGCTTTCATACGAGTGGTCGATGATGTAATTACCTTTAGGGGTTGTTGAGAAATTCACGAAAAACTCTAAGAACTGAAAAAAATACAAAAAAAAACGTTCTACAGCTCATAACAGGCGACTCGGTAACAGCACAAAGATGTATGTAGACTTGTTGGAAAGGTAAGATATTCAGCTTTCATACGAGTGGTCGATTATGTAATTACCTTAAGGGGTTGTTGAGATATTATCGAAAAACTATAAGAACTGAAAAAAATACAAAAAACAACGTTCTACAGCTCATAACAGGCGACTCGATGACAGTACAAAGATGTATGTAGGCTCGTTGGAAAGGTAAGATATTCAGCTTTCACACGAGTGGTCGTTGATGTAATTATCTTCAGGGGTTGTCGAGAAATTCACGAAAAACTATAAGAACTGAAAAAAAAAGTTCTACAGCTCATAATAGGCGACTCGATGACAGCACAACGATGTATATAGGCGCGTTGGAAAGGTAAGATATTCAGCTTTCATAAATATTTAGGCTTTCCAACGTGTTATTTGTCATATTTGCAAGTACTGTCGGTTTCCTGTAATTTATGCTTATCCTAAAATTATTAAGATTTTTTTAAAATTACTGAAGTTCTATATAGGCAACCAAATGCACACGCTTAATTCTTCTACAAAAAATAATGTTGCAGTTTATGCAACCACATGATCATTTACAACTAAGCGAATATTATTTAATTATTTAGCAAAATGTTATTTTCGTATCGAAATTAATTAAAGTTTTAATTATGTAATAAATAAGAAGCTGTTTCATGTAAATAGTTTTAAGAAATTCCTCTGGGTTGAGCTGTCAAGTGATGTTTTGAACACATCATAATATGTGATCAAGAATTTTTGTTGTGTGGAACAGAGCTGAGTTGTTAATTAAAACTTTACCTATTCGGATAATCAGTATGGCATTTACACTGTGGAACTTGTTTGAGGCATCCTTGCTGTGTCTGAACGCAATCTGCATTCTGAACGAGGAGAGATTCCTGGTGAAGAGTAAGTGTTCTGTTCAAGAGGGAAGTAACCTAAAAAAATATATTAATTTTATGTGTGTTCATTTAACAGTTGGATGGAGCGCCAAGAGGGCACCAACTGGATTCGGTGAGAATCCAACGGCAAAGGCTCAGATATTAAATTTGATCCATTCAATCCGTACAGTCGCCCGCAGTAAGTTCAGAAAGATTCATTCAATGAAGTGCAATTATTAATGATGTGATTCTTTGCAGTTCCTTTGATATTACTCAACATAGTCACTATACTACTTAAGTTACTGCTGGGATAGATAGGAAACAGGATGGATTTTCGAAGATGTCATTTATTTTGTCTGTTTACATTTTATATAAGAATTTAAAATAAACTTACTGCTTAATTGTAAATTCCCTTTGTTTTCTTTTGTTTTGTATTCGAATGAATGGATCTAAGTGTGTTTGGGATGTATCCATGGCAATAGGTTAAAACAAAGTTGTTGGTATTATTGCACAATGGTACCATAACAATAATCAAATTCTGTGTGCATCATAGTTATTAAAAGTTGTGAAAAGTTATGGATAGAATTGAGATATTGGTAAAGTTGAATCTGCTGAAGTATTTCGAGCGGAACGGCGTGATGGAAACGTTGGAGAGAAGCGTGAACGAATTCAGCGAAAAGTTAGTTGCGGGCCAAATTGATTTGCATCAAACCTTCTACTTTCCATTTCGCGTTAACGTTATCGAGATGGGGCAGAATTCCGGTAAGATTATTTTTAGATCCTTGTTGACTCAAGGGGAATTAATCACGAATTCCAGATATTTTGATCCGAGAGCCGTTGATTACGCAAAGCATTGCCAACGAAATCGCGTTGGCCTCTTTGGGAACGGCTCTGCAGCATTGTAAAATGCTCCAAATCGAGCAGATCGAGAGCCCCATAGTCGTCGCACCGTTCCCCTTTCGTGGATTATATCACGAACCTGGTTTAACATCTTTTATTGGCGTCGTCGCCGAATGCACGGACATCGTTAAGTTTATGTAGGTCTATCACAATGTTGTTATCTTACTTGATTCCGGTGTTTCTGCAGACGCACGAGTCGCTGGAAATGCGGTCTATCTTCTTGCACCAGCAAAGATCCGCAAGTCCTCAAAGGTTTACCTGCGAGACAGCCGATTTGCAGACATTGCGCAGCGCCTCTGGAAGAAGTCCCGCCGTTCAGATTTTTCGGTAATAAATGGAAGGTTAAGCTGATACCCGAAGACTCGTCGCGAGACCGGACGAGATGCTGGATCGAAGGTTACGTGGAAGATGACAGGAATTTGGATGGCGTTTTGAGATTGGGAGACGAAGTTGCTGTTAGCGGAGTATTGAACAACCACGAAACCTTCGAAATCTGGGGCTTGCAGCAGGTCGTCAGACAACCTTCAGGACCGCTGCCTACCTCGATCGTTGATAGGATGAGACGGCAATTGGACGGGAACGCTTGGGCTTTCGTTAAAGTTTTAGCTGCGAGCATAGGCAGGTCATTTATACCGGAAGGAATGTTCATGCAGTTGAGACTCGGTTTGATCTTGAGGTTTGATCTTCGTTTGTAGAGAAAACAAATTTGTTGAATAATTTACGTGCTTACAGTTTGGCCAGCGTGAATTTCCGGCCGCCAATTCCAATACTGGCGATATGCGATGATGATGAACCTGTGCAGCGATTGATGCGCGAAGCTCTAAGTTTAACGGCTCGCTGCACCAGGCCCGTAATTGATAATAACTTGGCTGGTGTCGTAAGTAGACTTTTGGCAGGTATCTACCATAAATTATTAGTATTCCAATGGTTGGTTGCAAGCCGGCTCGTTACAATTGGCCTCCCGCGGAGTATGCTTCCTGGGTCACTGGGAGAGTTACGTAGGTAGAAAAGGACAAGCTGTGAGGGATGCTGTGGTATCTGGCAGAATCACTTTACCGGGTAGCGTGTACTTTGAGCCTCTTCATACGGCGATTTGGACTTACTGCAATAGACCCAACAGGAAGAACATCAATAAATTAGAAACTCTATTGAAGTAAGTTTGTGAAACTTAGAATTGGATACCAATGAACCGTGTGATTTTAGGGTTTTCGGATTGGCTTGGAGGGTCGAGTCCGATTTGGCATCTGCAGAAGATGCAGCGGATTTAGCGTTGGGCATTACCCAATATAGAGAGTTGATCCCTCTAAAGGAAATTCGCGACTATCTAGCATCGATAATCTCCAATCCGGTGGAGTTAACCAATGGCGCTATGGATCTTCTGAAGCAATATTTCACTTGCTCCAGAATAGCTAGAAGTGAGATAAATCCACCGATAAACGAATCAATAATAATTATGTGACTCTACTTTACAGGAGGAATGCTACCCTTGACATCGCTCGATCCTTTAAGAGCGTTAACGGAAGCGCACGCTAGACTGAACAAGAGGATGTCTGCGCTACCTGAAGACGCCTTGGCAGCAATTGAACTGTGCGAGAAAGCCTTAGGTCCGATACCTGAATTCCCGCCGCCCCCAGAGGAGACGAACGAATTTGCGACTTGGCTCCAGAACAACGTCCTTGCGATTTCCACGCAGTTTTCCACATGTTAACGTTAAAAATACGGCGATAATTACGTGCTAAACAAACTCAAGAGGAGTATCGCTCATTGTCTTCGCGGGGAGACCGCTAAAAATATCGGCGCTAGTATAAATAGCCTGGGCGGTTTTAATTTTAGAACTGCGTATTGATTTATTACAAATCGTCGCGAATTTCTTTCGTACACCCAAACTTTTTAGCGACTCATTCTCTGCGAAGCATATATCTTTATATACAACGTCAACTATTTTTTTGCTTCTGATCATTATTGATATTACCCATTTTCTTCAATTTCAGCGTAAACAATTACACTGTGATCGTGATTGATTGCAGCTTTTCGTTGGAAACGTTTCGTTTCTTCAATCATGTGGATGGTTTTGTTCGAGGAATTAATCAGCACCGTCCATAATTGCCTGAAGATTATTACACTTCAAGTGGAAGACGCCGCAGCCGCCGCCGTTTTTATTTATTCGAGTGAGTAAACATTTCGAAAAGAAAACTTTACTATTTTTATATCGTTCAACGTTTTAATTGTTCGGGTATTTTGAATGCACTGAGAATGCAGTAACAAAGTTTAAGGTACAGAGTTATTTATGGTTGAAAATCTTTGAAAACCGTTTACTACCTGAGAGTGTTACATTCACAATAAATGTACCATTATTATAAAAAAAAGGCTCAATAGAAATCTTGATTCTTAAAATAATATACTCAACATGCAATATTTATTTAACTATCTTTATATGATTTAATCCAACAGGTTGTTCGAGTTTGCTTGCATAGAACTTAGCGATGAGCGTCGAGCGGAACAGTTGGCACATTCGGATAATCCGTGAGTTTGTATTTATTTTATGATTAAGAATAACTTAGGAGTGATTAAGACTTTCTCGCTATTATTATACTATTATGTTCATTAGTAACTATTTAGTCTATTTCAATAGCATTAAGTAATTGGATGTGAGAAGGATTTATTTGATTGCGTTTTAATGTTTCGTTCATAAAACATGGATCATAGAGATGCATCAAGTGAATGAAGTATAAACTGAATGATAATCGGTTGGTTTGTTAAGTGAGCGATAAATATCCATCAGTAAATGCGGGCAATCAATAATCAATTGAATTAAAAACGAATATATATTGAGAAATATATACAAAGTATAAAATGAAACAAAAGTAATTAAATGTAATTGTATTTCTAGGAAAGTTGAATGCGATGCAATGATTTTATGAATATAAATAGACGTTTCGCGTAATTTAAATATAGTTTTTGTTGAATGCGCTCGCCGCGTAATATGTAATGTGCGATTATTAATGGGGAAATGATTAATTTTGTTGTTTTGTATCGTTGATTATGTTCTTTTTGCTTATGTTCCATCAAGGATTTCCCGCGATCCATTGAATAATACGTCGAATATTTACTTGTTCCAGGTTCAAAACGATCGTGCGCGTTATGTAAAGTGCAAATCGCAGCGGCGGCAAGAACCGATCCAAGGACGACGACTCTCTCGCAGCCGTCTTGTATATGTATATGCAGAGAGAGAGAGGGTGAGAAGGGCTGGCTGGCTGTCCGACCCTACCCTAATAGGAAACGTGTTGTCCTTCCCTTTCGAGAGAGAGATGGTTGCGAGGGGATTGTTGCAGGGACGTTGTGGATGTGAGTCATGATCGAAGGGAGCACGTGGTCCGGGGATGGCGCCTGTCCACGTACTACCACCAGTACCAGGGAATCCTTTTAGGTTTCGCCCACGAGCCCACATGGGGCCAGCTGCAAAGGTCGTGTAGCCGGCAAATATATAGAGCTTGCATGCGAAGGGAGAGGAGATAGTTCGACTCCGGGCGTTGTGTGGAGCGCAACTCGAAGCCAGAACGTAGCGACAACGTGCAGTGCGAGTGTGGCGTGTGTGCTGGCTGTTTGTATGCATGTTGTACACATAGATAGAATTTAGAGGCAAACGGAGTGGTAGTAAACGACGGCACGAGGAAGAGGATTATGTTGTTGGAGCAACAATACCATCAGTGATTATTGACTTTATCCGTTATTTTTGCGTCGGAATTTGAAAGTATGTCCGTGGTCGGCGGCGGAGGCAAGAACGGTGATCTGGTGCGGAAGAGCCAGGAGGGTCTGGAGATGGACGCCATCGCCGGAGACGAGAAACGCACCAGGTTCCAGGTGAACAGGGTGCGCAACGAGACGCCCGACGACACCGTCGTCATCAACGTCAACGATGACAATGTGGAGGATAACGAGAACCTCCTCACCGTCACGGACAGGACGCGCCTCAACTCCGACACCTACGACACCAAATACGTTAAGAGCTTCAGGTAAGTTTCTTTTCGTACAAACATTTCAAAATTTATGAATGACACAATTGATAATGCTGTGATGGGATTATCTCATCAGAGAGCAGCGGCAAGCTTGATGTGCGTGCACCAGACTATAATATCATCTGTCCAAAATGCTGGTAGTCGATAGGCGATAAGAATTGAAAAATTTCGCAGATAACGCGCGCGTTCTCTCTCTCTCTTTATGCGAAGGCATAAAGTCTGCATTCGAGCGGTCGCGATAAAATTGAAAATATAAAAAATATACGTAAGCAGCAACACTCAATTTACTTGTCAACAAAACAGGAAAGTAAAGTGGGTGACGTTTGTTTATATCGACTGTGCTGGAAATTCGAAACTACCTCACGTTCTTCAGTTGCACACGATTCTTTGAATTGTTAACTATGGCATTCCGTTACGGGCGTCGTCTTTTCGTAATCAGAAGCGCCTAATGAATGAAATCATACAATTTGCACGTATTTATTTATATATTCGTTACTCTGACACACTCAAAGGAATTAACATTAGAAGATCATTACGAAAACGATATAGAAAACAAAAAAGTTGATTTCGAGTATAAAATAGTAGTACTAAATTTTCACAATTTAAAAATTTCAACGTAATTCTTTAAATTTTAAAAGTCAACTTATGTCTATTGATATTATAAAGTAAACATCTATAAATTTCATTCATAAAACCAAAAAGTTGATTTAGATTTTAGTTTGATGATTTTTAGTATTCTTTAGTAATAATTAACAGTTTTATGATATTCTATTGATATTATGAAGTACACATCTATACATTTCACAGATTAATTATACAAAATTTCGAAATAGAGTGAGCCAATGAACACGGTTTTTAGTTATTCAATGAAGAGAATGATGATGTCAGAAATCACGCTTTTAGCTAGAAACTACGCATTATTAATATATTTCAATCAAGATTAACGTTAGTAATTTACGGGAAAAAAAAAATGTCAGCGAAAGTGTTTATAATAAAACCCAAGCATACATTCGAATAGTTCGAGTCCAAGAAATTGGTGAACGTCAAATCGCGGCATTTCCCGACAGTAATACAAACAGTTTTAAATACTGTACAAATAATAGCGTGTGACTAACGATTTTTAATTGTAGTCTGAGTACGTAGAGGTGTGATTACTGTTTACACCTTTAAACAGAGAGAGAGAGAGAGACTCGTTCAGTCGAATTCCTTAAGGTCTTTTTTCTTTTCCTTTATTTTCGGAGCGCGTTATGCAATCCAATGCATCTACCACCGCACACGATTGTGTACACACACGGCCGTTTCGTTTTCGAGGTGCGGCGGAAGAGTTTGTTGGCCTTTTGCCATGCAGCAGCAGCAGTAACAGCAGCTTTCGAAAGAGCGCTGCATTTTATGCATACTGACATGCCGTGTTTAGGCTTAGGCCTTTCCCGTTACCACCGACTACGCTCTCTGTCTCAATTCTGTACCTAAATAGAGAATGCATGTCTATGTGGATAAAGGGAAACCCGCATGGATGAACACTCTCTTTTTCTCTCTTAAAATCTATTATTGTTAACGTTTTTCCACACAGAAACTGCCACACGTAAATCCGTTTTCGTAGAAATAGGGTAAACGCAACAACCATTCCCATCCAGCTTAAGGAAAGTTTTTCGGACATCTGCCGTTTTCTCTCTTTCAACCGAAGATAAAGAATCTAATGGCTTCGGCAAACATTCACGAATCTTTCGCTTCACCTTTTTTGGCATATCGTTAATAATGGAATCCCGTTGCGTTCGTACACACAGAGAATGAAATGGCTTTGTCTTTCTTTTGTCCCAGTAATTCGAATTTAATTACATTCCACAAACCGTGCTTCCGGAATGGAATCGGTAACGGTTTCCGCTTTGCGACAATTTCATATATAAATGCATTTTGTAAACGAGATTTATGTGTGAAACGATTATGTTTCGAGTGCTTCCGAAATATTGAGGATAATAATTACTTAATTGCGGCTGTAATTAAAAAAAAAAAATTATTTTATATAGAGATTATCTGATACAATATTGGAATTGAAATTTGCTATACAGTGTAAATTACGTTATAAAACGCGGCCGATTGCGTTTGATGATGATGTTTCACACATAATTGGCTCTAATTAATACCGATAATTATACGATTATCTACTTAGCTTAGTGTTAATTGGGCGTAGGAATTTTGTTTCATTATTATTATACCTCTCGTTGCGCTTGTATCCATCTATTACTTCATTCCAATTTAGCTAAAAAAAAAAAACAATAACAATTGTCCGAAGAATGTTTTTTCTTTTCTTTCCATCGTTCGCTCACAGCCGGATTCGATGCATTCAATCGCGAACTTGTGTATTATTGATAAATGAACTTTACGTAACTCTTTTAATAAATACACGTGCGCCGCGATTTCCTGCTCACTTTTTTTTTTATACAATTCCATAGATGCAACGAAATCCATCCATTTGTATGTGAACATAAAGAGAAAACCGCAGTATCATTTCCACAAACTGAATTATCTCTATAAATTGTCGATAATTTCTATTTAAAACGTTTTAGTTTACATAAATTTCATTGAATTGTAACAGCGATTGCGTTCCTTTTCATTATTACGACTGAATTGTTATTATTAGTAAACTGAAATCTCGCATTACAAATACAAAGTTTAAAAGAAAAACACATAAACATTTCTGTAGAGATAATTTTATAATTGTAGATAATTTCAGTATACAGGTAGATCTATAAAGATTTCAAGAACTACACTGTATATAATCTATCCATTAGCTGATAGTGAATCTGACGAGGATTTACGATAAAAAATAGTAATTGTAAACAAACAATCGTTATCGGTTTTTCCACGTAAAAGAGCCAACACTGAAAATTGGTTTTCTCCTCGCGATGTAGTCTCAAGTTATGTTAATTGTATTTTGTTGTTTTCGTATCTTCGCTTTGCGTTTAAATTAAAACTAGTTTCGTAATTATATTTCGCTTTGTAGCTGCAGCACGAACAAGTCGAAGTTAATTGGTAGGAGGATGCGAAGAGCTGCCTTTTTGTATGCCCATTATGAATACAATATGCTGTTGCGAGGATTTATGAATTGTTCGGGGAATCGAATGAGAATGGATTGTAAATATGATTTATTATATGAATTGCTGTCGTCGTATTTCTTACGTTTCCATTTGTAATTAATGAAAAAGCCATTCAACGTTATCTTGTCTAATTGCAATTAAGGTTTTATCTATGAATTGAGTGTTTGTCGTTGTTTTATAATTTACTAATTATTCTTCGTTTCTGCTTATTTTTAGGCACTTGACCAGAGAGGCGTTACCTAGGTTGGACAACTACAGGAACATCTTGTCTTTGCAGGCGGCAAACAGGCCAACGCTCGACGAGCTGCACAACGCAACCCTGCCGAATAAAGTGAGTATCATCATGATCATCATCATCTTCATCATCCATCCAGTCAAAGGGAGAAGAAATCCTGAAACACACGTAACGCGATGTGCTGGGCCATCATCAATAGCCATTTGAGTGGTCGTTTAGCGTTAAGTGGAAAATTGTCAAAACTCTTACTACTTGTGTAACGTAACCGCATTATCTGGATCCGTAACGGGGAGCCACCGGGAGAGGATAATTGCCGGATTCCTTTTCTGCCGATAACCGAAAGCGGCGTGGGCGACGTCGCCGTTGCATAACGCACACAGCACGGCGCGAACGTGCTTCGAAAGAACGTCGCCGTTCGTTTAATTTGCATTTATCTCGAACTTAATTGATTCTCGCAAACGAGTTGCATTCCCATAACGCTTCCACTGCCACCACCAATTCAATCCGACCACTTAAAATGTGCGAAAATCGAAATGCGAATCCCTACAAGTATATTATAACGTTAGATTTCTTCACTCATTGAAAGACTCATGATAGGTGCCAGTAACAAAACGCCTGACACAGTATATAAACGATGATCACTATAAATATTTACCTTTCTCAAACATAAAACACTCTCCAATTCCTTTCTTTATTCCTTGTTGTCTTCAAATCATCAACAGTTGAATTCCTTCTGCTACTACTTAACAATTTGTTAAGCAACTTTATTTCTGTTTCCTTCCACTTATAAATCTATTTATAATTTTAGCACCTGCAGGCGAATCTTATGCAACCGGCGAAAAGATTATTGTTATGTATATAAGCTCAGGATTACCGGTTGTGCGAGTGAGTCAATGCTCTTGACCACACGGAGGAATCTGTTTTCGTTTCCTGTCTCGAACACATCCATTCCTTTGGAATTCGTTCATCTGTTTGTATACTTTTTTCTCTCTCTCTCTCTCACACGCAGAAGGTGGCGTTTCTTAAGCGTTGGAAATTTCCCATTGTATATTCGGGTCGCGAGGGAAATTTATGTAAGCGAGACGAGGCCTCCGTTTGTTGTAATTATTATTATCATTCGAAATGTGGTTTTTGATTCGTGCGTTTCGCAAAAGTGCATTTGTGTTTGTTGCAAATCGGTTTGACACAATTATGGATCATGTGTGTGGCGCTCGTTGCACAGAATTTAATATTGCGCGGAAATCCGTGCGGCAGCATAAAGTAAAAATAAACAACTCTTGCGGTTTTTTCTTTAACAAACAACTGCAGTGTATTGATGAAAATGTTAAAAACTAAACAGACCATCGTTTTTGGAATTTTCGAACGAACGTTTTCATTCAATTAATATGCGAATATTTCCATTAGTTGTGTTTTCACTGAAAATAATAAGTTCTCCACTCTATACGTAAATTTTCAACTACGCTCTGGACATTAGCAAACTTTCGCTAACATTTTTTTTTTTACAAATTGTTGTTTGATATAGTTTTATTGTTGTTGTTGTTCGAAAATGCAATTCTAATCGGTCTGAACACGAATTTAATGATCAATTGACCTCTTCAAGTGCGCGCATCGCATGCCTCCTGCACTTTGGCATGCGATTGCTTTTAATTACTCGGCAATTAACCTTTACGAAAGCTGGAGGTCCACCACGAAATTGATGACTCGACGCGTCCACCCCCGTTCATAAAAATTCCGTTTCAATCAATGTTGTTAATTAAGGATGAATCCGTTTTTTTTTTCTCTCTTTGCAGGGCCAACAGAATCCGGCGCACGGCCTCAACGGTAAGGACGAAGGTGCACAGGTGAAATTCGGTTGGATCCAAGGTGTCCTGGTGCGATGCCTCCTGAATATTTGGGGCGTGATGCTCTTCCTCCGACTCTCCTGGGTCGTCGCCCAAGCAGGAGTTGGTAAGTCCCATAAGGAAACAGTTTCTTCGAACACTAATTGTATTTTTTACAGGACAAGCGATTTTATTAATTTTAACTACGACGGCTGTGACCACCATAACTTCCCTATCGATGTCCGCCATCAGCACGAACGGCGTGATCAAAGGCGGTGGTACATACTACATGATTTCGAGAAGTTTAGGACCCGAATTCGGCGGATCCATCGGTCTGATCTTCTCGATGGCGAACGCCGTCGCTTGCGCTATGTACGTGGTAGGCTTCTGCGAGTCCATCATGGATCTGCTAAAGTCCTTCGGCTTATTCATCGTCGACGGCGGAGTTCAGGATGTGCGGATCATCGGTTCGATCACTATAATCATTCTGTTGGTCATCGTTGTCGTCGGAATGGAATGGGAAGCCAAGGCCCAGATGGGTCTGCTGGTGATTCTGCTTATAGCCATAGTGGATTTCATGGTGGGCAGCGTTATTCCACCCTCCGATGAGGCTCACGCCAAAGGATTCGTGGGATACAACCGTAATTTAGTTTCACTATTATTTTCAATTTCGATTCACTAAAGTCGTTTCGATTTTCAGTGACGGTGTTTATGGAAAATATAGAGCCCGATTATCGCGTCGACGAGAACGGCGTGACTCACAACTTCTTCTCGGTCTTCGCCATCTTCTTCCCAGCAGCTACAGGGATTCTGGCCGGAGCAAACATCTCTGGAGATCTTCGCGTAAATTATTAATCAAATTATTCATAATCAATTAATTATTTCATTATTAAAATAGGATCCACAAAGTGCTATTCCCAAGGGAACGATTCTAGCCATCGCCGTTACCACTTTCAGCTATATAGTTATGGCAATAGTGTGTGGCTTTACAGTGGTAAGAGATGCAACTGGAAATATTGAAGATTTCTTCAATGGCACGTTTAGGGATTGCGCTCCTGGGGAGTGTCTGTACGGTAGTCAAAATAGTTTCCAGGTGAGATTTCATTACATGATTACAAGTACCAAATATTAATGTTTCGTTTGTAGGTCATCGAGTTAGTGTCATGGATTGGGCCAATTATATATGCTGGCTGTTTCGCAGCTACCTTGTCTTCCGCCTTGGCCTCTCTGGTTTCAGCCCCAAAGGTCTTCCAAGCGCTCTGCAAAGATAAACTGTATCCGAAAATCGAATGGTTCGCCAAAGGGTACGGCCAAAACAACGAACCCGTCCGCGGCTACATACTCACCTTCATCATCGCAGTCGCCTTCATCTTAATAGGTAATTGCGATTAATTCTTTTTCTGCTCATTCTCATACTCGAACAATTCCATTTCAGGTGAACTGAACTTGATCGCTCCATTGATTTCGAATTTCTTCTTGGCCGCGTACACCCTGATCAACTTCTCCACATTCCATGCGTCTCTCGCCAAACCAGTCGGCTGGAGACCTACGTTCAAGGTAAATGCGTTGCTCTGAATTTTAATTTCCCTCGATATTATTAAACGCATTCCTCTTTTTTTTCATTTGCAGTATTATAATATGTGGTTGAGCTTGCTCGGCTCCATCCTATGCGTCCTCGTCATGTTCTTAATCTCGTGGTGGACGGCCTTACTCACTCTGGCCGTGGTTTTAGCTCTGTATTTGATTGTAGCGTACAGAAAACCAGGTACATGATTAATAATTACATAACGATAATATAGAATAATATATATATATATATTTTTAGATGTAAATTGGGGCTCTACTACTCAAGCTCAGATATACAAGAATGCCCTGCAGACCGTCCATCAACTCAACAACGTGGAGGAACACGTTAAGAATTATAGGCCTCAAATATTGGTGCTGTCGGGAATGCCGAGCGCCCGTCCATCTCTGGTCGACTTTGCCAACATGATTACGAAGAATATCTCTTTGTTGGTGTGCGGCCACATCAACACGGTATTATTATTTTCATAATTACATTAATTCACGTGATTTTAATTCGATTTTTTTAGAGCGTGTTGCATCAAAGGGTCCGAAGCATATCTCACGACAAAGCTCTGTCTTGGCTCAAGACGCACAAGCTGAAAGCTTTTTACATGCAAGTCGATGGATGCACCTTCGAGGAGGGCAGCAGTGCTCTACTGAAGGCATGCGGTATCGGTAAATTGCGTCCGAACATCCTGCTCGTAGGTCACAAATCTGACTGGCAGAAATGCAGCAGGGACGATTTGAATTCGTACTTTGAAGTCTTGCAGTGAGTCTTTCGTCGAGTGATTATTAATAATACCGATTGTGCATAACTGAAATCTCTTGCAGCAATGCCTTGGATCTTCACATGGGTGTCGGCATTCTGAGGTTACAGACCGGCTTGGACTTTAGCCAGCAGATGGAGGACGAGCAGAATAACGGCTCTTCAATTCCAAGGAATCAATCTTACAGTCACTTATCGCAAGGTAACTCTAACACTGAAAACATTGCTGCTTCAGGTTAGTTACCGTCTAACATTTACTCTCGCTTCTTCCGCTTATTTAACTCTAGTAATCCACGATTTGTTGTTGTTCTTATTTATAATATATATATTTTTTAGGTAGCAGCTGCAGCGATGTATCAGTACCAGCGACTCCTCTGTCTAGGAGCAAAGATGGTGCGATCAGCAGTAGTCCTAACGCCGAAGAGGAGTCGCTGAAGAAGAAAAAGATCATCTACGATGGTCCAGACGCCACCGAAGAGTTGCCCAAGGAAATCTTGAGTCAGATGTTCCAATTCCAGAAGAAGCAGAAGAGAGGCGGAACCATCGATGTATGGTGGTTATACGATGACGGAGGTGAGTTTACATAACGTTTCTAACAAAGACTATCACTAATACGATGTTTAATTGTAGGTTTAACTCTGTTATTGCCGTACATCATATCGACCCGTCGCAATTGGAGCAACTGCAAATTGAGGGTATTCGCGCTGGCAAACAAGAGAGACGAATTGGAGTTCGAACACCGCAACATGGCCAGTCTTTTGGCCAAGTTCCGTATAGATTATTCAGATCTTCAAGTCGTCCCAGACATCACCAGCAAACCGGCCGAGCAGACGCAGCAGTTCTTCGATTCCCTCATTGCCGATTTCCGCGTGCAAACAAACAAAGAGGATCCTGATTCTGGTTAGTGTTATTTAGTTTATAAATAAACTACAGAATTGTAATTAATTATCGTACGATTTCAGTTGAAATATCGGATGCCGAGCTGCTGGCCGTGAAGGATAAAACCAACAGACATCTGCGTCTGAGGGAGCTCATGCTGGAGCATTCGCACGAAGCCAATCTGGTGGTGATGACTCTGCCGATGCCCAGGAAGAACATTGTTTCGGCGCCGCTCTACTTGGCCTGGCTGGAGCTTCTGACCAGAGACATGCCTCCGATTCTTCTGGTGCGCGGCAATCAAACCTCCGTCCTGACTTTCTATTCATAATTTTTATCACAGAAACACACACACACCTTCCTCACATATAATACGTACATACATACAAAATCGCTTTTTTTTCTTTTATTATTCATTCAATTATTTCTCTTCCAATTTTTTTTTTATATATACAATTATTATTCTTATTTTAAGTTCACGAAACATGTCCTTTTTGTTTGTATTTATTAACTAATTTAGTGATTCAATAATTATCGTGCAGATTATTAGGTAGGTGAGAGACCGCAATGTTGTAAACGTTTTTTACAAAAGAAACAATACGAATACGAGAAAAACGAACAAATATTCTGCAGGTCCGGAAATGAACGTTGATTTTCCTTTCTTTTCTCCCCAAGAAAGCAATAATAAGCATTTGCAGCAAGTAAGATATCTATATAGTACATGTGTAAGTGATCTAACAAATTTTTAGATTTTATATTTTTTAAAATACTTCACTATACTTTCTATTTTTCTTTTGTTTTTATTGTGAGAAATGTCTGAAAAAAAATAAATAAAACCTATTTTTAAGTATTAAATCAATTTATTAAAAAACGTCTAGGTGTATTTATTACTAGTTTGCAAACTGGGAGGTGAAATCAGAGAGAGAGAGAGAAAAAACACGAATAATATCAAAAAAAAGAAACACTGCTTTTTCGAACATTTTTTAAAATTTGAACACGTATTACAGCCTAACGGCTAAAACCACAGTATAGATTCCCCAAACATTCAGCTTTCATATGCATCTTTTGGATTCATTCTTTGTATTATAGTTTTCGAGTAAATCAATGAAATGTAAAAACACTGCTTTTTCGAGCGGTTTTTTAAACTTTGAATGCAATTACAGCAAAACGTAAACCCACAATAATATAT